CCGCCACAACAGCAGCAGCAGCAACAACAACAACAACAACAACCGCAACAACAGCAACAACAACAGCAACAACAACCACCACAGTTTAAATATTATCATATTAGAAATCGCCCGTTCGCACCGATTCCAAATTTCACGCAAACCAGTGTACCGTCTTCACTTCCCTCGAGTTCAATAGGGATCCATTCCGTGGCTTCCGGAACTTCCTCTTTCGATTCCCGGCTCACTTCAATTTCATCGTTCGATCCCGTCGCACTACAATCAACGCAGCAAACTTTGCACCTTCGTCTGCAACAGCATCAGCAGACATCGGAAGACTTCCGAATATCAAGCGTTGCTTTCGCTTCTGTTCCCCGAACCGCCAGTCATTCGTTACAGCTTCATCATCATCACCATCATCACCATCACCATCATCATCATCAACGACGTCATCATCAGTCCACATTGTATCCTACATCACCATCTACGTCCAGTATAACTGTAACGTCCTGTTCTTCGTCCTATACTGTGATCGCGCCATCCAAGTGTACCACACTTGCCGCGAATGAACTCACGGATACCGAAAATTCTTATCGATTTTACCAACTACATTTAGGAGGTACGGTTGTTACGCCTTCGGTCGAAGTACAATCGGCTCAAACATTTTTATCCTCTTCTACCACTACGTCGATTACTTCCTGCACCACGGCATTTTCTCAGTCTGCGACTTTACCGTCATCGACCTCGTATTCGCCCTCTGTACCTACGTCATATCCTCCTTTGGCTACGATCACTGGCAACACAGCCGAACAGACATCTACGCTCGCGTTTCCAAATCAGGTACCTGAAAATGCGTATAGAACTGTAAAATCTGATTTCAATCATGCCATTGTTTCAAAACCTAACATTTCCATTTCATCCACGTGTTTGTCATCCTTGTCTTCCTCCTCCTCCTCCTCCTCCTCTTCTTCTTCTTCCTCATTTTCCTCCTCTTCATCCTCTTCTTCTTCTAATTTTTCTGCTTCGCCTTCTTGTTCATCGGCCTGTTCTTTCTCCTCCACCTCCTCTTCTGCTTGCTCTCCGGCGTCTTCTTCACAAATTCCCTGTTCGCCTTTAAAGCAGCAGCAACAACAACAACAACAACAACAACAACAACAACAACAACATCATCATCATCACCATCACCATCGTCACCATCACCAACGCCAACAACAACAACAACAGCAACAACAACAACAACAACAAACAATTAACCCCAACTATGCATTGACAGAGCGCGGCATACCAGAAGGAGCAGCTAGTACAACCCCCCAAGATGTATCGCAATCAGAAATTTTACTCGCGTCTGATCCTTACATCACACGGAACACCGATGGTGTCTCGTTACCGGCTCATGTGCAAAATTCAGTGTATTACGCGATGAACGTTTAAACGTGCATCGCTACACGCGAATGGTTGAATCGGATTTTGTGCGACGATGTGCACCCTATACGGCTGATTGTTCTGTTATAAGATATTTCGACGGTGATTAGCAACACGCAGTATGAAGAAACAATGTAAACCCTGTTTTAACGGCTACGGTAATGCTGCAGAACACTCTTCGTTTTGTTTCCTAAATCAAAAGATTACTATATCGTATAGGTAGAAATCCGATTTGACACGTTGGAAGTCGCGTCGCACGAATAATTATGTTTTACCATGTATCGCGTATAATGAAGGGAACAGTTATACGTATAGTGATTTTGGTAATCCTTGTTCGTGCAAGTACAAATCGCCAAATGTGTTGCTCGTTGCTATTGAGAAACGCGCTGTTATATTCGAGTTAGGTACGTAATTATAGTGTATACATCGACAATGTTCTTTGCCAATATTACGTGTTTATCGCAAACGATCGAATGCGAATGGGAGAGAAATACGAATGTGTTTTCGTGACCATTTGCGATAGTAATAGAAAAACACCATCATTCTGCATCCAAAGATTGATGTTTTATCGAATCGTTGCATTTGCTACACCAATATACCCATTAAAAGTACGTAAGTATAAACATACGTAATGTCAACACTCTCGAATGGAGCGGTAATTATAAACTACATTTAAAAGTACATATGTACTTACACGTGTAAGAGAAGACGAAAGATTCGAATCCTGCGTGAATCCGTGAAACAAATTTTATTGTGTTGTGCATATTCTATACCGACGGTTATCGAGTCTAGTCATGGTAAAACGCGTACTCGTGCTAATATCTAAGAGTGTAAATCGGAATACGTCAAGTATGTTCAACATACGAGTAATATGATAAATTTCAATACACGTACAGGTATATTTACCAGTGACAGGAAGTTGCGAACAAGTCCAATTCAATTTCCAAGATGGAATTGATTAATTCATTTGAAATATTACGAGAAAGAGAAGAAACGGAAAATGCATCGCAAAAAGAAGCATTCAATTTCGACTGCAATGTAAAGTTTGTTAACAAAAGTCTTCTTCCAATATTAGGTTAAACTAATAGAGAAAGCACGATAATAACTGACTGATTGCTCCTCCTCTCTCTCTCTCTCTCTCTCTCTCTCTGTCTCTCTTCCGTTTGCGGAAGGAAAACTATACGTTGTTTTAAAATTTATCGCTGCAAATGTTTCGTTTACAAGACAAAAAGAGTGATAAGAAAAAGTGATTGAATAGACGCATAGTCAACTAAACGGAGCGAATATATTTGAAAGGTAATATTCCGAATAAGTTACAATTGTAAAACAGTTGAATTACTTTTATTATTTTACGATTTCTCCACTCCATCTCCTCCCTTCTTCTTTCCATTGCTCCACTCCTTCTCGACAGAACCCGCAGTGTTTATTGTTCTTTATAGTATTATTTCAGTAGTATTATTTCTTTTCCAAAGAACTATACAAATATTAACGGCCAAAGAAATACACGTTGTTTCGTAAAGAGAACGGTAGACAATTGGAAAATAAATAGTATGGGTGAGCGCATCGTTTAGAAACACAATGTACTGACCGTGTATCGCAGTCAGTACTGTAGTGACTTTATATATATATAAATATAGGAACAAAGAATTACGTATTATAGTTTATAGAACGTTGCAAGCGACATTCGAATGTGATTAGTTTCGATCCAAAGTTAAGTACCAAATGTCGTAGTAATAAGTACCCAAATTTAAGGACAAGTTTTACATGTACCATATACTTTACTTAACTCCTTAAAAGTATCACCGTAAAAAACTGTATGTAAATAAAGCTTCAATCGTATAACCGTGTTCATACCTTTGTTGTGAATATTTATAAGAGTTTTATGATACTTTGAAATAATTCGACGAATTGGCAAGTCGATGAGAAATGAACAGAGGGACGGATAAACGTTTAGGAGTGTAATAATGAATCAGTGAAGTGTATCCTATAAGAAAAGTAATTCACGAAAAATGTGAAAAATTTCGTTATTACGCACCGTTAAGGTGAAACCTACATACGTATAATAGAATCATATTCAACAAGGTTCGTGTTGTTTGTGTTACTTTCGGTAAACAAATGTAAACAAAGATCATTTGTATTGACGCAAAAATTGTGAGAAATGTACTCGTAGGTTCAATTCGTGTGTGTTCAAAACTGATTTATTAAAGAATTCACACTACCAATTTATCCATAAAAATTTCTTATACATTAAGTAATCGAATATTTTGTAGAGTTCTTTTAATACGCAATTTCTGATGATAACACACCGATTTTTTCGTATCACGGTCAAAGTATATTCGTGCTCACCGAAAAAAATCGGTTCAAGTCAGCGGATCGATCATCTCGACGGTATCATTTCAACGAACGAATCCTCGGATGGATACGTATGTACGTAAATACTTATACGCATAAACCTCCGGTGCATGAACAAAATCTGTTTTTACTTTTGTTTATGCAAATTTTTCGTTTGAATCGGACAGGTATCGAATGCATCGGAAACAATCGACAGATCGTAGAGTACTGGTCTATACTAACGAGCCTGTTTCTGCCGATATACGTTTATATTGTTAAAAAAGGTGTTGGATCTTAATTAAGCGAAACTATTAATATACGCCTAATAAAGAAGAATATTGCATTTTCAAAGAGTTCGAGTACAGTACACATTATTTTAAACGTACACTCTTATGTCCTATTTATCCGAGTATCTTTGTCGAAAACATTCAGCAAAATAATACTACCGGTTCTTTTGTAAACGTGAAACCTAACCTTTCCGGGTTTAAAATGGTTAAAGCGTCACCGTTACAACGAAAATAATTCTTACATGTTTTGTTTTCGTAATGAAAGAATTCTAATAGAATTGCATAAGAAAACACCTATGTTAAAGAAAAATACAAGTTCCCGGAAATGTTTGAAGTCTGGACGTAAGTTTAAACGTGGAAATAGAATTTCAGTTTATGGCGCATAGTCGTAAGTAGGCACATTACTATTTAAAGGAGCATTAATATGTACAAATCACTTGTAACGGCACATTAAATAGGACGAAAAAGTTCATTTTTATTTCAATGAAAAAATTATGAAAAATTAACATTTGCAATTGAAGAGAATACTTTAATGAAGAGGAAAAAGAAGATTTGAAAAGAGCGTAAATTTATAGTCGACGAAACAAAAGCCAAAGAATTCATTATTTCATTTGGATGAGCAAGTCGGTTTAATGGCACATTAATAGGGACCAGTACCCTACCGATACTCGCTCATACTTCTGAACAACTGATCGTCGGAAAAGTTCTTGCATGCACCTTATAATGAACGATTCACAGTTTTTCGCTGTATAGCGCTAATAAATTTTCAAAATGACGTTGGTTGCGCTCTACAACAAGATACATCGTCTTCTTCTAACCGGTTCCGGAGGTTCCAAAGCGGCCAGAATCGCTTCGTCGAAGACGTTTTTCAAGCCTTTCTGAAAAGAAAGAAACAAAGAAAATGGAATGATACAGAAATAATTAAAGCGCATGTAACGTTGATCGCGCGGCGAATCTTTACTGTACGCAAAATTACCTGCGTAAGTGCACTGCATTCAACGTATTTTACTGCTTTCAATTCTTTCGCAAGTTTTTCACCTTGCTCCGCTGATATGGGCTTTTGTTTATTTTTTGCGAGTTTCTCAATAGTTGGAGCATCATCTCGCAAATCAATTTGAGTACCCACCAATAAGAACGGAGTTTTCTGACAATGATGAGTTATCTCTGGAACCCACTAATTAAGAGTTGTTTACTTGTCTTTGGAGAAATTTGGTTTATAGCGTTGCAATGGAATTGCTTGGCGCGTGAACGTTAGAAACCTACCTTCTCTTTAACATTCTCGAAAGACGACGGGGATACAACGGAAAAACATACAAGAAATACGTCAGTTTGAGGATAACTCAAAGGACGCAAACGATCGTAATCCTCCTGTCCTTTAAACATACAAAGAGAGAAACGAATAAACCGCAATCAGTATATTTGTGATTGTTCTCGGGTGTTTAAAAACAATGTACGTAAGGCTAATGATCGGTGAGGTGATTCGAATGAAAGAGCAGAATTGTAGAAATAATGGATTTCTAATGACGGAATAATAATAAAATTGATACTTACCAGCTGTATCAAACAATCCTAATGTATATGGTTCACCGCCGATCATAACCGTAACCGCATAATTGTCAAACACTGTTGGAACATATTCAGATGGGAATTTGTTGGTAGTGTACGAAATCAACAGACAAGTTTTACCTACTGCACCGTCTCCAACTACAACGCACTTGATTGTTTGCATTTTTTTCGTTTTACTTGGATCACTCTACACAAAAGGAATAGCAGTATGTTATTAGAGACAATTCGTAATCGAATGGGAAGGGCAGTTTCTTACACGAGATTACTTGTCAACGGCGTGGCTGAATTTCTGTCTTGTTCCGTTCCATTTGCGTCCGGTCTTGTCTAGTCCCACGAGTTTTGTCAGGTCATGTCGCGTCCCATTACATCCAGTCACGTCCAATTACGTCCCGGAACGTCTCTGTCGTGTCCTCTCCGAATAAAGGGACGTAATCACCGATTGTTAGTCGAAAGCCTCGTTCCCCCGAAACTTGTGAAACAGTATCTTTGGATAAGAAACAAGAGACGCGTTCGTCGAACCTCAACGCGAGTCAATGGTATTACACATAGGTCTTCTTCGAAATTATTGTTTTTTCAGATCGCCATTTTAAATATTCCATGAAATACAGAAGTTTATCTTCCGAAGCGATATTATCCGGATACGTAGACGAATGGATCCAATGGTAGTTTTCAAGATTTAATCCAACGAGAAACGTATCGCAACGATGAATGTAATATACGAAACTTAACTGAAACATTCACAAGCAACTGGGCGTCGACAACACACTGCACTGTCACAAATTTTTCGAATTGACATAGAGAGCCGACAACTCGGAGATGTTACGTTGCAGAAAGAACCGCCATCTATAACGGTACCGATGCTGAACCAATCATTGACACGGTTCTCGTACGATGCGTTCAACAATCATAGCTCACGAGTCGATACGAGAGGCCCGATCGCTATCTGAATTTTCGTGAAAGCGTCTCTACGTGAATACAAATTGCTTGTATTTACGTAGAGTTCTACTATTCGATGGATATGTTCACGATTAAGCGTACGACAAGACCGAAAGAAACGTTTAATTCTTTAAGATATGCCAAGTTTACGTTCTCTGTCTCTCGTTTCATTCTGTTCGCGATATCCTAACCCTTTTACGGTATATACTTTTTAATAGCATTCCAACTGAAGTTGAACTTTTATCGTTAATATTGCTCTAGAAGAGTGGAAAAAGTGCGATACACGTTGAGATGTGTCTACGTTATTTGTTCTTTTCATGAATTTTCCGGATTATTCGGATTTTCGGCCATGCAAATTGAACCCAGTCCCGTTCGGGACGGATAAACAGGATTCCAGTGTACTGCAGTGTGTGGACGATAATACCGAGAAATGCCCATTTCAAATCAGTTTTTCCCGTGAGAAAAGTATCACTCTCTCTTGGATAGTTTCCCGGATAATCGCGGAAAACTGTTTGTAGCACTACGTTGAATTGTACACGAGCGAGCGTGGTCGTGACAGCCGCGAGGATAGGCACAGATTCATCGTTTCGGTGGTAGCTTACATGGGTAAATCTTCTCGATGTTCTCGTGTCTCGCGTATCTCGTATAAAAGAATGTATCAATAGTTTCAACGGTTAATCGCAGTAGTTTCGCACGTATATCGTTTCGGTCATTCTCTAGAAGAGAGGCTACGTGCCTACAATCGCATACACGCATGGCGACACACACGCGTGTAGCGACTTGAAATGCAAGTAGAAAGGTAGCGAGTTTACCGACCAACTATGGTAAGACAGATACCTTGTTGTATGCGTTGACATCTTTACATCTGAAATGATACGATATGAAATTTGAATGACCGATCAATCGAGCTACGCGTGTTCCACATACTTGTTGAAAAACACCGAGCGCTGTAAGCATGTTGATGGTAACAGGCGTCCGAGTTGGACACGAGGAACGACCTTGACGGTTATCGATACCGTTTACGAACAATGTACCCAACTAACTCACCTGTTTCAATGCCAGAGAAATAAAATAGTTGGATGATATCAATAAACGAGAAACGATACATCGATAGTGATCGGCTTACGATAACTCTGTGATGTAATCATTCTTCTGTTACGGTTCGATCGATAAAAGGTGAAAGAGTTTCCAGTTGAACCGCGCGTTTTTCAGGTCACGTTTCAGTTTGCTCAGTGTTTCGTTTACGGATTAGAAAATTGTTACTTACCAGCAAGTGCGGTATGATTCACGATGTTGTCTTTTCATTTGATCCAACGATGACACGACAAAACGACAGAACGACAGAACGACAGAACGACAGAACGACAAAACACACATTTCAGTGAAAGTACCACTTTCGAATGCGAATGATTTATTAGAAATTCGTTAAACGTCTAATACACACAAACACACACATCGTATGTATTTACATGGAGAATTTAGGGAAATCAGTTCAAAGTTTCAATATGATTGCATGCGAGCACGGAGCTGTAGCCGACGTTTATGCTGTCAGCGCGTCAACGATTCGATGTAATGATTCGTGTATTTGGAAATAAGTGACAAAGGGAGGCAGGGAAATCGGACCACATAAATATAGCGTTTTCTGTACGATTGAACCGAGGTGTATCGCCCAAAGTACGGAAGAGTCTACGTGTATAATATAATACGTGTACATGTATCGGGCACTGTTCGAAAGAAGACCCCTGGAACGATTTAGTGTGTTTCGGGTGCAGTGTGCGATTCGTCGAAACGCGCACAGTGTGCCGTCCCGTGAGTCTTCTTTCATACAACGGACGATAGAGATACACGGTGCACGGCTCGAGAGAAGGCAATCGGAACAAGTACGAATTTAAATGGTCGGAGCGAAGAAACATTCGTAAGGTTCTGACCATCTCTCGAGCTACGCACCGTAGATGGAGGTGTACGAATCGGAAAGTATCAGTCGACGCATATTGGCAAATTAACTACAAAGAACGTATTGAGTTCTAGAAAAGAAGCAAATACCAGGAAAATGGCGTACGTTACGAGACAAGCGATTCCGACGGTCCGTGTCAATTTGAATTTACCAATTAGGAGGGACAGATAAAAGATGATAAGAGTGGAGAATAATGATATCGAGCTGTAAACAAAGCCTTGCGAATTGATTTGTACATAGTGTTGATGGGGAACCTTGGGAAAGAACGTGGCTTTTAGAAACCAAGGCAATCCGAGACAGAGTAAAACGTCGAACACGTTCGAACCTATCGAATTGCTTATGCCCATGTCTCCGTGACCTAAAAATTCATGAAAACATTTTCAGAAATTAGTTGTGTGCGTACGCGTGTGTGTAAATATTCTATCGATAACCGAGAAACACACGGACAAAGAAAGGCAAAGTGAAACGCGTAGAACGAAAAGTTGCGACTCCAAGATCGACCGACTTTGATAATCGAATCCCGATAACGCCACGTGCTCTCCTATCGCGATAGAATACCGTGTATAATATCGTAGTATTTTCAAAATGTTGATTCGCCAGTTCTATTCTGCTTCGACTTCTAACGGGAATCGCGATTAATTACAACAACTTGAAGCGTAGTTGCGAGACGCGTTTGGACGTAAATTGACTTCGCCCTATAATGAATCCTGCCATGAATCCTGTAATGAACGGTGTGTGAGACACGAGCGGTTAAAAAGACGAGAATTACCTTGATTCGCGACGATAACGCTCGACACAGCCTCTGGCACGCTCATTCCTGCCGCAAGAAAGGTCAATCCCATTATAGAGTCGGGGATCCTAAATGTATCGCCTGGAATAATGATCGATTGTCACGCGACATTCAAAGAAATTTCGATAAGTCGATTTTGTCGTTCCTGGTTTCGTAGAGATGGACCGATTTACAGGGATACGTGGCCGTAGAGTGGCCGATAAAGAGGAATAATATTATGAAACACGTACCGATTACGGTGATCACCCATCCGACTACGTACGATGTTGTCGCGATCCATACTATACACATGATAAATGTAACCGGGTACCAAGACTTCAAGCTGTTCCTTCTGCAATCGGGAATCGTGACGAGCAGTACGAAATTAATTGGCCACGTAATCAGCCACCACATTCTTTCGCATGTTGCGTTCGGCCAACTTGTCATATTGACGATATCGACTGAAATGCAACAGTGCCGAAATGTTGTATCGTAACGAAACGATCTACGAGACTCCACGGTTGATTTTCCGATATTTCGTTCATTCGATTGTTTCACTTACTTGACTCTTCCGCTTCTCCCGATTCTAATAAGCCCATGTCGGTGCCTTTGACAACTGGATAGTCTAAATAACGAGAGAAAAACGAAATTATACGATCCCATGTATGAATATACGAAGCAAAAGTTAGCGTGACCGTACCGTTCGAGATTAGGGGACTTTCCTCGGTAAGATTTCTGTACTTCTTTCTGGCGTTTGTCGCGCGACGAAGAAAGTTGCTGATAGGGCCATTGAAGCACATCGCTGAAACGGAAGATGCGAATTTTCGAGTGTTTCGAAAGGAAGAAAACGATTCGTTGAGTTTGAGCAGTTTGCGAAACTGCGAAGATCGACCTATCGATCGAGTCAAGTAATTTGTCGCCTTCGTACCCACCTAAAATGTATAGAACGTAGAGGAGAACAAGAATCAGTGCCTCGTACCATTCGATACGGCCGTCCCTCAGCGTCAATACCAATAGTAAAACTGTAATTGCGTATGCAAGGGAATCTCGCGTTACGGGCCACCAATCCAACTTCAAGACCTGCAAGTATCCTACCGATGTAGACATTCGTATCAGCTTCCGTTTGGAAAGTATTTGCGGTGAGAAAATTCTTACTTGGTTTGCGAATATACCGCAACAGGCGGGCACTGCTAGTATATTAAAAACGGCGGAACCGACGATCGTGCCGACGCCCAAATCCCCTTCCGTGACGAAAGTGCCTACAATGTTGACGAATAATTCTGGACTAGAACTGGCTGCAGCCATTATCGTCGCTCCTGCGACATCCTCCGTTAGATTCATTTCTGAAAATTGTCGTCTTTGCTGGTTACTCGAGTGGTAGCGAATTTCCGAGGAAACCGATTGAAAAGCTGCTCCGTTCAACTTACTGTCGCAAATCTTTTTCATCGAAGGGACAAAGAAATCGTCGCAGACAATGGCCAGCAATAGAAACATGTAAATAGCTAGTACGAAGTGTATCGTTATAAATCCGGATTGTCTTTGCTGCCGGGTGAGACCGTCGGATGGAAATTCTTTGATCGCCGGGGGAGTGCAATTATCAGTTTGCTCTGTTCCCCCTGGTTCCATAGTAGTCGACTCGAATTGCAAGAGTTTGCGAAAACCTTGAAAGAAAATGTGGTTGCGTTAATAGCGATCGATAGACCATCCATTCGGGAGTGAACAGCGAGAAACGACAATTATATAATGTGCCTATCAGTGATTTTTCGGGGACCGACGTTCGATCACATTCATAATATAGCCCTGCGCGAAGATAGCACGAATATTATACGCGTGTTACATAATGCTCGTTGATAATCTACAATGTACAATGTTCGTTTAGGTGGTTCCTCCTGTATCCTTGTTCGCAGTTGTACGCATACGTGGAGTATGCAAGAAATTTCTGTACGCTACAATTGCCACTTGTGTGCTGTATATTATTTATCGTTAATCAGGTGTCGGGTATCGGGTATCAGGTATCAGGTATAATGTATAATGTATAATGTATAGAAGGCTAATGCAACAATGATTTCAAATCGTATATTGTATCTAATACATGTACTATATCTCGGCAGCTATTCAACGATCTCATGTCCACTGCTTCGATATTGATGCGTGGAATTCGAGAAAAATGATTTACTCATAGGAAAAAGACTTACGCATATCTGTCGGATTATTGGCACTTTCCAAAGGTTTTAGACGAATTATTGCTACCATATTAATAAAGACTAAATACAATAATGGTATGGCGATCGTACAGATTATTCTGTAGCCAATTGCACGCGTGTGTTTTCGCGTCATAATTGGCAGTTTAATTCGAAAAAGTCGAAAAGAAATTTCGATAGTCGGTTGTACGGTGTCACGCACCGTCTCGTTCGATACTGATTTTGATTCGCAGAGTCCGACGATAGACCTCTCATCGACATTTTTCGTTTACGAACATTATCGGCGTCAACTTTCCACAGATAAGATACTAGGCACATGAAGTGAGACAAGAAGACCCTTCGTTGATAATTCAACAGAAAGAAAACCCACCTATCGTTACGAGCTATTAATTAGATATCCATTCTGGTAACTTGTGTACCATAGATTCGAATGACGCGTGTTATAGATTTCAAGCGTCTATTAGACCATGGAAAAATTGCCAACGACTCACTCGGCTGAAATCGTTGCTGTACTTCTCACTTTCGGAGAGTACCGTGCTCCCATAAACTCGGAATTAATCGAATGCCTTGGATTTTCATTAAGGAAAGGTTAGGCCTCGCCAACTTTTCGTTTTCAGCAGATAAATTCGATTCTATAGAGAACACGTGATTCTTTGCTCCACTAGTTTCTGGGTTATTGGTATATATCGGATGCGATTAGGCCGGCAGTTTTCACCGGTATTTCGCAGTTTCCGCAGTGACAAACATTTCGGTATTCGACTCGGGGCATTTCTCCATTATTGCTATTTATCAAACTGTCGTATTAATATTGCTCGGTCGAGTGAAAAGTGTCGACCTCGTATTCGTTTGTTCTTTTGTGTCTTTGTCTTTCGTTCGGGCAGAGGTACACCTACATACGTGTACAGATACTCTTTCTCCGTTAGAATTTCAGCAACCGAAAAGGAGATACAATATTAAATACGCATGGTGCACGAAACCTGGAAAAGAGAACGAAAAGAGATATTTCGATTCTTACGAAATCATCACGAAATGGACACGATGCGACGTTCAATTTTCAAGGAAGGCATAATGACGATTAGTGCAATGACGATTTCACATTTTGACCGCGGCACGATTCAGCAGGCGCGATGCGCAAGAGATGAGAGAAGAGAAGAGAAGAGTTAGAGGGAGGGGCGATTCCAACAAACGCTGCCGGACTTCGGAGTAGTTGTTAATGTAGTATATGTGTGACAACGGGATTGACAACATGGATACGTCTGACTTAGGAGGAGGTTCGTTTGAATATATTTTCAATATTACCGGGAATCAATGAGTATCGTGATACATCTCATCGATTTGAGAATGGGAAAATTCGGGATGTGATTCAAGGGTTGTAGTAGACGAAAAGGGGTAAGATTAAAGAAAGGAAATTAAAGTTTTCAAGAAGAAGGTGGAAAGGAAAGTGGTGGTGGAGGAGGAGGAAGAGGTGGTGGAGGAGAAAGAGAAGGAGAAGGAGAAAGATCTGCAAGATGAGCAGCACTATAATCATCGGTAACAGTATCGGAGACAGAACCTGTGGAAAAGTTACAGAGGCAGCAATAAACCGAGAGGTACAAACAATGTGGATGATAAAGAGTTGGGCGAACAAGAAGACGAAGAGAAATGCAGAAGATGTGAAGGAGAAAGGAGAAGTGGCGGAGGAAGAGGGA